GCGAGGCGCGCGAGCCACATCCTCGTGGGCGCCGGGTCGTAGCCGAGGGTCTTGAGGGTGAAGCCGAATTCGACGCTCTTGGCGAGGCCCAGCGGGCCTGCGTTCATGAGGTCCGAGTCGAGGAGGGAGAAGTCGAGGTAGCCGCCGGGCTTGAGGACGCGCATGCACTCGCGCAGGCACCCTTCCCACTCGTCCTCGCCGTTGCCGCCGACAAACTTGAGGAGCGAGTGCAGCTCGCGCGCCGACACGAGGTCGAACTGGGCGTCTGCAAAGGGCAGACGCGTCAGGCGCTCGACGGCGACCTGGCGGTGGTTGGGTGGACCGCGAATGTTCGAGTTGGACAGCTGGCGGACGGCCTTTGTGGTGACGGTGTAAATCTTGGTGTTGGGGTACTGGAGCGCGCAGTGCCATGCCCAATCGCACGTGGCCTGGCCACCGAGGTCGAGGATGCGCGCTCGGTCGCGAGCGACGCCGTCGGGGCCCGGCGCCATGCGAGAGAGGCGTGCGAGGCGCTTCGCGACGGGCGCGGAGATGAGACAACCACCGTTGAGGTAGCGCGTGGCGGCCACGTGCCAGTTGGACATGGACGTCTGGCTCATGGCCTCCTGCTCCTTCTCACGCTTGAGCTTCTCAGGGTCGTCGATGAGAACATCATCGCCGCGGGCGACGTTGGCGCTCAGTCGCTTCTTGGCCGACTGCGGCATGACGCTCAGTTGATACTTGCCGAGGAGCTGGTTGCGGTGGTACTCGCGGCGGCACACGCGCTGGGCCTGGAGGGCCTCGAAGCGCGGCAGCTGGTGGACAAAGGCATCGAGGTGGCCTCTCTGGATGATGTAGTCCTGGAAGGCGCGGTAGTAGGCCGATTCCTGTCGCAAGAGCTTGGAGGGAAGCGAGCGCGGTACGTCGGTCAGCGAGACGAGGGTCGAGAACCGAACCGTCTTCTTCTTCTTGGGAAGCTCGGCGGACGCGGGCTCCGGAGCCTTGACCACCAAGTCGTCAGACTCCTCTGCAGCCTCGGGGATGGTCTCAAGGCCTTGGTCTTGCTGCTCGCTGTCCTCTGTGTCCACGTCTACGGCCTTGAGATAGGCTCGCTGTGCCATGAGCCAGATGCCGGTGCGGTCAAGGTTCGACAGAGCCACCTCTTCCTGCTTGCGAGCGTACTCCGGGTCGTACAGTGGTGACAATCTCGGTCGCGGCTTCGTCCACTTCCGG